TCTGTTAGTACATTCAAGCGCACAGCACGACATTTTAATTGTCTGGTATTTGTAACAATATTTCCTAAAAGGCACAATCACCACGAACACGGCTAAAGGGTCAAGTACAGTAACTACAACTAACTAACGTTGTAGCCTAGCAGAGTGGACAAGTTGCTGTTAGCTGACAGTGAGGCACGTACCTGTCCATCAAAGTGACCACGCCCTAATTTATGCAAAAACGTTAAGACCTATTATAAATAAAAGGGTGGCGTTAGAAAACAATTCACTCACATATTCATAATCATGAAGGTGGAATCTAACTATATACATAATAATATTTATTGTATCCAGGGGTATAAACGTGTTTTTTTCTGCTGTGAAATTGGGCATTTTAACATGGGGGTCTATGGAAATTGCTCCTTTCGGCAGTCATCGCCTATCGGCCAATATATGAACTGCAATTTGTGGCACTTCCGTATTAGCATCCCGGCTCTTCCCCAGAGGTTGCCGCTTGGGCCATACCTATATAAAACATGTCTGTGAAGTTTTTTTTTCAAAATACCAAACAGATCATCTATTTTAGCCATGCCTCATTTCGCTCTATTTGCTCTTTTCCAGCCCTGTTTTTGCAAGGGCTGATTCTGTGAGAAGTCTTCTTCGCTGCTTTTGTGGCAGACTACAGCGCCACTTACAGGCCTGGCATATGTACTACAGCATCTCCAGCGCTTTCGAGCGGCAATGGCCGTGGCCGTGGCCCAACCCCCCATTCCCCTGATAGGTGGAGAGTTGCCCATATAGGCGGAGCACCCCTTTTCTGACGTCAGGACAGTGTTCAAATCTGGATCAGTTTTTATCAGATCCGTTGCAGCCCCTTTTTTAGAGATTTGGGTATGGAGGAAAATAGAGAGGGTTGTGTTTTCTGACACTTGGTGAGTTCCCTGGAACACCGGGGACACATATTCATGTATAAAAGACGTACAAAAGTGCATTTTGCATGATAGGTCCCCTTTAAGTTCCCTATGAAGAGCCAACCTTCAATTTAGAAAATTCCCAGTTTATTCCCATAAATTCCCGTTTATTCCCGTTAATTCCCATGGAAAGTTTCCATCTTTGAAAATTCCCGGAATTTTGCAACCCTGAGTGTTAGCAACAGGTGTTTATTCAAACGTCTGGGCCCATAGCACTGCTGGGAAAAGCAGAAAAAGAGAGAAAAGGGACGTCATAAAGCTGTTTTAAGATTAAGATTTGTTGTGATTAAAATTGGATTGAACCTGTTAAAATGCAAAATAAAGTAAACAAAAAAGAAGAAAAGTAAACTCAAGCCACACCTATTAATTGTTTATTTTAAAGTTGAGAACTTCATTTTAAGATGCACACAGAAGTTCCCTGTTATGAATTGTGTTATTCAATGCAGTTAATTTACTCGAAATGATAAAATAAACTGTTTTTAGAGTGTAAACCACACTTTCTGAGAAACAATACCAAGGACATGACTTTGGAGTATAGTGCTTAACTGTTAAAGCAAATCATGCACCTTTGTGTAGTGATTTTTCTACATTTCTACCTACAGGTACTTGTGTGTTTTCCCATGACATGTCTGAAATTACCTGTCTTATTTACACCCTACAGTCAAATCAAATCAAATCAAATCAAATCAAGTTTTATTTATAAAGCACATTTAAAAGCGATTTTTGGTCGAGCCAAAGTGCTGTACATGTAATAAAAACACATTACTACAATCACAATAAAAGACAATAAATTACAACAGATATATCTTAAAAAATAAAAATAAAACACAAGGAAAAGTCAGGAGTCGTGCTCCGCTCTAACTAGAAGGCCAGAGAGAAGAAGTGTGTTTTTAGTGTAGATTTAAAAACCCCTAGGGTCTGGGCCGACCTCACATGGAGGGGCAGAGTGTTCCAGAGCCTAGGGCCAGCTGCTGCGAAGGCTCGGTGCCCTCGGGTTTTAAGCCTGGTCTTGGGCACTACCAGCAGCAGCTGGTCAGCAGACCTTAAAGCTCTGGCTGGGGTGTAGCGCTTGACTCTAGAGTCAGGCTAGATCTGCACCGGAGACTAACTACTTAGACTATGTTTTTGCTAGGTCTCTGAGGAGTAACGGAGGAAGGAGATGAAGTACACACTTAAGGGCAAAATAAGCTGTGTCTGTTCATCATTACTCAGGTATCATTGACAGCACTGTGCTGGAGAAGAGGCAGGTTGTCGCGGTAACTCGAGATGGAACAAATGATGGCCCTGCCCTCAAGAAAGCGGATGTTGGCTTTGCCAAGGTAACTATTGGCGCCAATGTCATCAGACTGATTCTTATTGCAAACTTTGTAGCATTATTACTGTAACAAATTACTATTGATTTGTGAAACGGAAAATATAAAATGATTGATTCTGCATAATTTATGTTTTTCTTCTATCAACCGTTTTAGACTATTCCTGTAAGAAAACAAATATTGATGAATTCATGATCCACCTGCGATGCCACACCAGTCCTGGTCTAAACCTAGGCTCAGAGTCAGTTCTGGTGTAAGCTTTGTGTTGACTAACCATCATGCTGTGTTGTGCAGGGCATTGCAGGGACGGACGTGGCGAAGGAGGCGTCTGACATTACCTTACAGACGATAACTTCAGCAGCATCATGCAGGCAGTGAAGTGGGGCAGGAATGTTTACGACAGCTTCTGCAAGTACCTGCAGTTCCAGCTCACAGTCAATGTGGTCGCCGTCATCGTGGTCTTCACCGGGGCCTGTATCAACCAGGTGACAGCCTCCTGACACCTCTGCTGCCTACACGATGGGTGGATAGAATCACTTTAAATATTCACCCACACACTCACCCAGTTGCTAAAGAAGGCTGCTGAACTACCATAAGGTGCTGGACGGGCCACTGGGAACAATTTCATGGTTCGGTCTCTTTTTCCTCAAAGATGGTGTGGACCAGTGAATAACACTGGCTATACTTCAAATAAGAACATTTTAATTGGGAATCTCTTTTTCTTCTTTTAAACATGATAGATAACATTAAATGCATGGCATTCTAAAGCGATTACTTCCTAGTACTCGTCAAACACAAAATTAGGAAACATTCATGGTCCAAAGATGTGGGTCTCTGTGTTCTTAATTAAACTTTATCAAACTGAGTGTTTTAAATTGAATTTCATGGACATCCATGTAGACTGACTGACAGAAGGTGTCTGTCTGTCTGTGTGTCTGTCTGTCTGTGTGTCTGCATTCCCAGGACTCTCCTCTGAATACTGTGCAGATGCTGTGGGTGGGACATCTACCAGCTGACCGTAATCTTCACCCTGATCTATCACGGCCAGTAAATGCAACACAGCTTAGTGGTCTTAAACAGACTCACTTAAAACCTCCTAATAAGAACACTTTGAAAATTAGGCTGATTACAATTGACTTACTAATTAATAATGAATACTTTATTACTTTGACCCTCCCTTTCACAGGTGAGATTTTATTCAACATTGCCAGTGGCAGAAACGCCCCCCTGTACGCCCTGTACACGCCCTGCACGTCCCGCCCTCTGTACACTACACCATCGTGTTCAACACATTTGTACTCATGCTAATCTTCAATGCAATCAACGCAAGGAAGAGCCACGGAGAGAGAAACGTGTTCAAGGGGATTTTGAGAATATCTTAATTTTTAGTTTCCTGTCTGGCCCTCGCTTCATATTTCTTTCTTTATGAATGATCTAAATAAAGTCATCTCTGAAAATTCTCATGAAGTCTACAGTGCAAGCTGAACCATGTTGGCCACATCATAAGGATGTTCTAAATACTTCATGTGTTGACAATTAACGCAAAGATGCACAATGATATTTCAGTGCAGCGAGATCTCTGATATAATGAGTCTAATGTCTCTTATTACCCTGATGCATGGACTTCAATCCATCTGTGCTTTTAAAAATCAATGCTAAACTTTATCAGTAATGATTTGAGACACTAATCCATGAGCAACTGGCATTATGCAGAGTCATCAAGAGGGCAACATAAAAGTAAATAAAGTATTTGACACAAAAATAAGATGGAATGATTTGAATAGAGGCTGGAAGCAGGGTCGCCGCCAGGGATTTTGGGTTACTTAAACATTTTTTTCTTAATGTTCTAAAATTGTTTGGGCCCCTGTCAGTCACGGGTCCTTAGAATCGTCCTAACTTTTCACCCCCTTACGGCGCCCCTGGCTGGAAGTAATCATGATTATCCTGCAAGGTGATGCAAAATAGTGATTTAATGCATTTAACCAATGATAGCTCATTAAAGTCATAATTTGAAGTTGAAAATGTCTAAGACCAATTTAAGCAAAATGTAAAAAATCTGTTGTTCAGTTACACAACCACTGGCTTCACACATTGCTTTGATGGTGTGCTTTGAGGGGACATAGACTTTGGTTATAATGTGCTATAAGTGAGATAAAAGATTAACCTGTATTGCTCCTCATATAATGAGAGTAAGGGCCGGGGTAATATTTCTGTGTGCCCAGTCTCTGCTTTTCTTGTCCTGCTGCATGACAATTAGATGTAAGATGAGTATCTAGTTGCCTTTCTGTGTTAATTGGTAGAAAAGGGGAGTATAAATAACTAATAGTATTTGTTATATAAACTGTGGTAAAGACAGCACACTCTGCTTTGATTTGCTTAAAAATCCACTGCTCATTGCCTATATGCTTTGTATTCAGCATGTGCTTATTCAGGCCACCATGTGCAGCTTCATGTGTTACATAACCTCCTCCATGAAGCCTCGCCTCCACACGGCAGGTATCACTGCAGGGACGACTCGCCACACATTAACCCGAGTAAAAAACAAAACACCACTTGATTCGACATTATTCTATCCCCTATTCTTCTGCATTTTTGACATATTTCGTCAGTTCTGTGGCTGTTGACGCAGCGGTACCCAGGAGGTGTGTTACGCGGAACAGACACGTACATCACGGCTCTGCGTCTGTTCCGTCAGCGCCCCTCCCTCCCCGGCTCCCAGCATCCCTGTCAGCCCGGTGATGCTGTCATAAACCGGAGAATAAATCTCGTTTAACGATCGTGAAGGGGGCCTTGGTATTTTGTGAATGGTTTTAATGGTTGGCTGCGTTAAATTGTAAGTACTATTTAATGTGTTATCGGCTTAAACCTCATTCAGAGGCATCATAGAACACGGTTGGTGCTATTTTTATTTGCGCATCTCGCATTGTGAATCCGCGCTCGGCGTGAATAATACATTTCTCTTTCACTCGGGAGGTTTTTTTTTAGGTTTTCCAAGGGCATCAGTGAGCGGCACGGTGCGGCAGGGATGTGCACTTCTCACGGATAGACGGAGTAAGAGGAAAGGAGCCCGTTTGTGCTGCTGTAGTCTTTGATTTGATCAGATTTATCCGTGATATCCAGGCTCTCTGCTATAGCTCCCCTCTCGTTCAGCGCCTGGCTGTAGGATGAGACGTCATGAGTTGATCTGACAGATGTTGCTGTGTTGCACAGGCATAGATTATTCGCGTGCTCTCGCTGTTTTTTGGGGTATGATTGTGTAAAACGGGGCGTGCGATTAATGTTAAAATCCTCGCGTCGTGCTCGCAACATTCATTTAATTTTCGGGATTGCATAAAATGATACCAGGATCTGCCGCATCAATGCTACCGTCTGCAGAAGCTGCGAAACTGTACCAGACCAACTATGTCCGCAACTCCAGTGTCATCGGACTCCTATGGGCCATCTTCACCATCCTGTTCGGCATTGTTAACGTGATCATCTTCTCTCAGCCATACTGGGTTGGAGATGGCGTGGATACGCCGCAGGCCGGCTACTTCGGCCTGTTTCACTTTTGCGTCGGAGACGGTATCTCCAGAGACGTGGTCTGCGAGGGTAGCTTCACCGAGTTCGCTGCTATCCCCTCCACCGCGTTCAAGGCCGCTTCCTTCTTCATCGGTATGTCCATGATGCTGATAGTCGCCTGCATCGCGTGCTTCAGCCTCTTCTTCCTCCTCGGAACCTCCACCGTCTACAAGATCTGCGGTTGGATGCAGGCATTATCAGGTAAGGATCTTTCAGTACCGGGGGTTGGGGTGCAGGAAAGGAACTTGAAATGGGAGATTATTGTGTTCACAAGATGTAAGGAGGTATTGTGTTTAGATATGACAACATCCTACTGTTATTTTCTGTGCTCCACTAAACACTATATAATCTACAAGATATTAGGTAGATAGGTCTGTTTTGGGTCCTTCTTATGTTACCCTTGAACTAGATTTGAATTGTATTGATCAGTTGAATTGTCAGGGCCAAAGTAAAGATCAGTATAAAATAATATCAAGGATCTCTCCTGGAGTCAATACTGCTGAACTGGCAGTGCTGTCCATGGTGCTGAATGGGTTTCTTGGGATATTATGACATTAGATTCAGGTGTAGTCACATGAAGAGTTTCTCAACTTATTCAAATGTATTGAACATATATATTTTTTTAAAGTAACATTTTACAATCCATGCTGGTATAAACACACCATTAGCAACTAAAAACATGATTTTAAGAAGCTGTACCAATCCAATGTAATCAAATCAGGTATTTGATTAACAAAATATAAATTACCAGGGTATTTATGTCGATGTTATTATTCAAATAGCTTCCTATCTGAATTGGCATCACTGTACTGGCAGATACCCTGTCCTATGATGAAAAGATTGACATGAAATTAAGAAACTTGATGGGTGCATTATTAGTTTTAAATCCTGTCATTTAAATTGTGATAGCTAATCAGTGAAATGTATTTTTCTATTGCTAAAAAGGATATTGCTTAGTGTGAATGGAGAATGTAGTCCTATTGCTATATTAAAAAACTGATTAAAACAGACTGTAACAGATGATGAATTTGCAAATTTAACTGAGAATGCATGACCACAGAACACATGCCCTTAATTGCATGATGAGGCTGGTATATTAGCAATTACACAAAGAGGTAAGGCTACATATGCAACTAATTGCAATCAACAGTTCTTTGTAAGACTCAGAGTCTATCCTCAGCCATCAGGTGTGTGCGTATGCGTGTGCGTGTGCATGTGCATGTGCGTGTGCGTGTGCGTGTGTGTGTGTGTGTGTGTGTGGTAAAGTTAGGGGTGTTGAGTGTTTTGATGTGGTTGAGGTCATTGGTTCAGCTGCTGGCAGCATGCTGTCACTGTTACTGTGGGCTAATGTGATCCAGTGTGGAGGCCTCCATCATCTGAAAGGAGACCAAACGTTACAGAACATCAGCCTGCTCAGCTGAACCCAGCAGTTCAAAGCTGCCGATTTTCTGTTCGCAACAAACACAAATGAGGGGGGATTATTTGGAACAGCTCCAGCTCCGTGTGCTATGTTGGGCTGAATTAATGCAATAAGCCTCTTTAATGAGGAGACCGTCGGGCTTTGTGCTTCTGTAGCTAAGAGATGAAAGAGAAAGCCAAGAGAAGAGACCCTGACCACGGCAAGCTGGCACAGGGATGCCTAATGAGGAAGCTGCTTAGCACTGTCAAACTTCATTAAGCATAGCTGAAGGTTAAATCATCCTGCCTTCAATTACAAGCCCTGTGAAGACAGGTGGCCCACTGGCATCTGTAAAAGGCCCCCCTACTGTCAGCTAATGTTTTGAATCGGAAGTACAAATGATCAATATGATGACATTATTAATGGCCAAAATGTGTGTGCAAGCGAAAGAGAATAACTCTTCGCTGCTCTCTTTTCCTTTATCCACTATTCACTTCCTTCAACCTTATTGGGCATACAATGGTATGCCAAATGTCCTTCCACACCAATAAATGCCTAATTTGTTTTCTCATTCAAGCTCCATTTGTTAGTTCTTCCCTTGTCTTACAGAATTATACCGTATGAAAAACATCATAAAGCGGTACCATGCCTCATTTAGTAAAAGGCCTATTCAGACATAGTAACTCAAATTCAAGGTCATACTGTGTGTGCTGGCCATACGTAATTTAAGTGATATATTGTAAGACACTCTCACCAGCAGCTTTCACAAATCCCCTTGGGCTGAGGTCACAATGTTGAGTATAAACACTCAGAAACACATAACAGATGTACGCTGCAGCATAGAGCTCCTCTCTAGTGAATCAGGCAGTGAGAGCAGGCACACACTCTCTAACCATCTCCAGGAATGTTCAAAAAGACTGAATATTTGATGAGCCAGGACGCGTTGAAACTCTCAAAATGTCTACCACAGCCAAAGATGAGGGCAGAAATGCTCCTTCGTCCATCCTGCCCTAGATGGACTTGTATCCTTCTTTTACCTCATAAAAGCTATTTCTGTCTTTGCATCTGCTCAAGTCCATGGCATGCAGATGTAAGCATGTTTTATTTTCTGCAGAGCCGAGCACAGTAAGATGCACATGCTCCTTCACTGTATCTCTTTCTGTTACCGCTACACTCCTCCTGTGCAACTCGACTTGTAACACCTGCTCATTGTGACCTCACTCATATTTTCTGTCCTGTAACTGCAGTTTTTTTCAGTATGCCAATTAACTAAGAACACTATGAGGTCAATCCTAATTAAGTCAGCGTTTTTTCCTCCGTCTATGTACTGTACGGTTGCTATCCTTTTTCTAGAGTCTGTTTCCTTTCAAAAACAGATGAGTCATACTTGTGAATGGACAAGGTGGAAGCTTTGTAAAGTCCACAAATGTGCAGAGTCAGACTGAGGGTGGCCTATTTGGAAAGAAATAGACTGATTTAAAAAGACCGAATTTACGTATAGGCCGGATGTGTTTTTTTTTCTATTTTGGTCTCTTGCGTCATTCGCAATTCCTGATTTCTCATTTTTTTCCTGATATAAAAGGTTTGCTTCAGAATTCATAAGCAAAACAAAATTGCATTCAGAAACATCCTTTGCTTTGTAGTTTATTTATTACGTATTTAATAGTGGCTTTTTCAGAATGCGCACTAGCCTGTGCATTTGCATGGTTCAGAAATATGGCTAGATAATATTGGGCAATTTTGCTAAACATAACAATAATCAAATTGTCCAAAAAGGGCCACTGGGTAGCTCAACAGTAAGAGCTGGTGGCCCAGATGCTGCAAATCATCCCCTCTATCTCCACCTCTCATCTGTGCATTTCCAATAAAGGCACTCTGACCTAAAAAAATATTATTATTACAATTATTTTCAATCAAATAATTAATATAATATTTAACATACATTTAAACTTCTAAAATGTAGGATGTAAGAAAGGATGTCCGTCGTTTTGAAGTTAAAGAAAGAAGATTACACAATGTATCCTTTCCATTGTATGTATATTATGAAATATATTATTTTACATGCATATTAGTGTTTGTACCAGTAAGCTGCCACAGCAAATAAAGCCTGAAGTTTAAAACCTTCTTTGGCTGAAGATGGATAAAGATCAAACAAGTTGAATCAATACAACACAATCTTCTATTGCCTGACAGCGGTGAGAAAGACAGCAGGAAGATAAAGGTGTACACAGAGATGACAATACAGAGAAAAGAGAAGTGAGAGATAGCCAAGGAGAGTAGTATGAGGTTGGAAGACAGAAAAACAAATCAGATACCCGAGAACACATACTGGGTCACCTCATTCCTTCCCTCCATGTAGCATTATGTGTGTTTTTCTGCGCCAGGCTCTCACTCCCATAGTCCATTAGCTCTATTGAGAGGCTTGTTCTGAAAGGAGCATTAAAGCCTAGTTGAATGGAGAGGTGGAAAGTGTTGGAGCGCGGCAGGAGAGCAGCGTCACAGAGCTGCACTCTCCACTGCGGCAGCCCTGTGTGCCCCGCTCTCACAGCTAATGCTGCAAACGAGCACTCGTCTGGATACCCATCAGGCCTTAAAAAGCAGAGGAGGGCTCGACTGAGGTAAAGGCGGGGTCTGCTACTTTTGCTTTGCTTCCTGTGTTTGTATGTGTATATCTCATACTATAACATTTGTGAAACACAATAGATGCACGTCATGTGTCTGCATGCTAAAAGACGACCATCAGGCCCAGAGCTTGATTAACTTCTTTGACCATACAGTATGCACCTTTGGTGAATTAGAACTTCCTCAAGTTGCCAAACAACAATATTTTAAAGCAAAACATTTGCATATACATTAAACACATTTCTATTAAGATGCACAGCAGAGCTGACTTTAATTTGATGCTGTTGAGCTTTGTTCATAATTGCTTATATCCTAAAGAAGTAAACAATGAAATGCTTGTTAAAAAACGATATGTATTAATTTCAGCACGCAAGTGCCTTTTCATCTTCCACTAACTTCTGCAGCGTTCTTTCATCATTCATACTTAAATGACCTTCAGCATCCGTACTGCATTGAGCTCACTTACTTAAGCAAAGCAATGAATCAAAGCAGTAACTCAACTGTGTTTACCCCAAAGATTTCACTTGAACCGCTCCATAAATGCCGCTAAATTATTTGCATTCATTATAGTTCCACTCAATTTGGTTTGACCTTGTGAAGTACTTTGATGGATCATTTTAATGCAGTCAAGGAAAGTTGTTACAAAATGCCAACCCATCTCCATTAACATTATTTAAAGCTACTGGATAAACATTGATGATATTCATAACTTTGGAAAGCAGTGTGACGGGACTAATGTTAAGTGGACGGACAATGTGAGCAATAAACCAGTGACACTCTCAAACTGCAATATTACTTTCATTATATTTTTAAAATAATGTCGAGATTTTACCATTTGAAGGGCCTACCAATTCCAGATACCACACCACATCTGATTAATAATGTACCTGTGGCCTGTCAAAGTAACTTCATAAGTGCACCTCCCCTCTCTACAATCAGTGTATTCTGAATGTGTTCACTTGTATGGAAATGCAGTCTCCGAAAACATTCATAAATGTTTAACTGGAAAATCCAAGCTGCATACAACGACAGGAGGTTAATCTTACCTCTGACCTTTTTTGTTATTTTGCAGCAGTCTGACAGTTTGGGGGGCTACCGGTGGGCATCATCATGTTAGAAACAGTGTAATGTATCCAGTCACTCGTGATGCTGCAGCTAGACACAGACTTAGAGCGAGGGG